TCTTTGGTTCTCATCAGTCTTAGCATAGTATGTATAAGCTTGGCTTTCTTTGAGTTTACCATTTTTGAGGTTCACTGAGCTTCTTGAATGTCCAAGTATGTATTTTTACCAAATTTGGGGAGTTTTCAGCCATTATTTCTTTAAATATTTTTTTCTGTGCCAACATTTTACTCCTCTCCTTCTGGGACTCAGATGACACCAGTGCTGTAACTCTTGATATCATTCTACAAGTACCTAAGACTCTGTTCTTTTTTGTCAATTTTTTTCCTTTCTGTCATTCATATTGAATAATTTCTAACAGCCTTCAAGTTCACTTACTCTTTCCTCTGTCTTCACCATTCTCCTATTTGGCCCATTCAGTAAATTTTTTATTTATGTTATTGTGTTTTTAATGTTTAATACTTGTTTAGGTTTTTTATAGCATCTATATTTTTGCCAAGAATCTCTGCCTTTGCATTTGTGTCAAAAGTACTTGTCCTTGATTCATGAAGTCATGAAGCATGCTTATAATAACTGATTTAAACACTCTGTGTGGCCATCTTAACATTTGGATCATCTCAGAGTTAGCATCTGTCAATTATCTTTCCTCTTACAGGTTCTTGAGATTTTCTTGGGTCAGCCATGGAAGCTCACACCTATAATTCCAGCACTTTGGGAGGCAGAGATGAGAGGATTGCTTGAGCCCAGGAGTTTGAGACCAGCCCAGGCAACATAGTGATACCTCTCTCTACAAAAAGTCAAACAATTAGCCAGGAGCGATGATGCACACCTGTAGTCCCAGCTACTCAAGAGACTGAGGTGGAAGGATCACCTGAGCCCAGGAGATAAAGGCTATGGTGAGCCATGATAATGCCACTGCATCATTCCAGCATGGGTGGGAAAGTGAAAACCCTACCCCCCAAATAAAAAAACAAGTTCTTGAGCTTTTCTTTGTTGTTGTCTGAGTACTTCTAGGCTGTCTCCTCAACATTTTGAATATTATTTAATAAGACTCTGGATCCTGCCAGAATCCTATGAACAAAATTGATCTTTTTGTTTTCTCTGGCAGTCAGTCTACTCAGGTTCAGACCACAAGTCCAGACCTGCCTCATGTGGGCTGTGATTCTCCTGTGAGTTCAGTTTTCAAAGCCTTTGCGATGGCTTTGGATCCAACTCACACTTGCTCCCCCTGGATCCAGTCTGTGACCTTGGCAGTGGTGTGGTTCATCTCGCAAAGCCTTTGACATGCTTTTTGGGGTCATTTTCACACAGGTCCAGCTCAAGGGTGGAGTCTGGAACTTTGTACAAAGCTTTCTGAGATCTCTCTCTTGACCTCCTTCTTACTGATTTCTCTCATACTCTCTGGTTCTCCAAGGGCTGCTCTTTCTGGTCCTCTGACTCTAAAGCAGGGGTTTTAGCCTCCTTGCACTGTTACATACTTCCTGTTGGATCTATCTCTCTGCCAAAGTAACTATCACTATCACTTCTAGACAGGGCTTGCCCCTAGGGCAAGACCAGGAGAAAGAAAATAAACAACACATTTTCTCTCACTCCTTCCATCCTTCAGAGCATTCCCCCTTCCCAGTCCACCAGAAAGGGGTTTCTCTTCGCCTCTTTTTTTTTTTTGAGCTGAGGTCTCTGTTGCCCAGACTGGAGTGCAGTGGCACAATCACAGCTCACCACAGCCTTGACATCTTGAGCTCAGGCGATCATTTCACCTTAACCTCCCAAGTGTTTGGGACTACAGGCACACACCACCATGTCCAGCTAATTTTTTTGACTTTTTGTAGAAACAAGGTCTCACTATGTTACCCAGACTGGTCTCAAACTCTTGAGCTCAAGCAATCCTCTCACCTCAGCCTCCCAAAGTGCTGGGCTTACAGGTATAAGCCACCCTGCTCAGCCTCCAAAACTTTTCATTTTGCAAAACTGAAATTTTATGCATATCAAACAACTTTACACTTCCTTTAAACATTTTTTTAAGTCTTACCACAGAAAACTTCACATCTACAAAAGTAGAGAGAATCATTTAATGAAACTCATGTCGCCTACACCAGCTTCAATAATGATCAACTCTTACCAGTCTAATTGTATCTATACGATTCCCCAATTTCCCCACCCAATTTCCACATGTAACTCTAGCAGATAGGGGTTCCTTAACATAAGCAAAACCATTGTCACACCTGAAAAAAATAACAATAATTTCTTAATATAGTCCACACATTGTGATTGGTTCACATTTCTCTTAAATTCCTTCATCTGTGCAATCTATCCCCACCCCTTGCAATTTGTTGTTTGTCTTATGATGTCTTCTCCAGTCTGGATTTTGCTAAAGACATTTCTGTGATGTCATTTAACACATCTCTCTGTTGCCTGTTTTTTCTAAAAACTGATAGCTCTAAAAGACTCTATTTGATTCGGGCTCAATAGTAATAACTGTGATTTTTAAATGAATATCTTAATTTGTATTGTTATTTTTTCAAGACTACTTCATCAAATATGCATTTATGACATTAGTAGTGATGGTCAGTACTTACTCTAAGTCATCAGTGGGTATGGTAGAATGCCTTTCTCATCCCATCCTTCCTTCTTCTTTATCTTCTAGAACCAGTCTATAATGAGATTCCCTTGACAGAAAATGTTTCACTAGAGCCTGTGTCAGTTCTTTTTTTTTTTTTTTTTTTTTGGAGTTGGAGTCTCACTCTGTTCCCCAGCCTGGAGTGCAATGGCACGCTCATAGCCATCCCAGTGTCGACTTGCTGGGCTTCAGTGATCCTTCCACCTCAGCCTTCTAAGTAGCCAGAACTACAGGCACGCGCTACCACGCCTAGCTAATTTTTGATTTATTGTAGTGACAAGGTCTCGCCAAGTTGCCCTGGCTGGTCTTGAACCCTCAGGCTCAGGCAATCCACTTGCCTCGGCCTCCCAAAGTGCTGGGATTACAGACTGTCCATCTCTTTATTTTTAAAACTCAATGCAAGAATTTATTGATTTGGAGAGAGGGAATGTAACCCCTCCACAGAGGCTGGCTGTGATCCCTGTGTGTTTGAAACCATTCCTCATCTCTTATTGTGTGTTTTAATTTACATTTTTTGTTTGCTCTATTTTCCTTTACCTTTTTTTATCAATATTTTTTATTATGATGTTGTCCTTTACCTTTTTTAAAAAAAGAATTGTCATTTATTAAGATGTATTCATTCTTTTTACATTATTAAGGAGACTTTCTTTTTTGAGTTGGAGTCTCACTCTGTCGCCCAGAATGGAGTGCAGTGGCCGCTCCCGGCCACCGCAGCCTCGACCTGCTGGGCTCCAGCGATCCTTCCACCTCAGCCTTCCAAGTAGCCGGAATTACAGGCATGCGCTACCACGCCCGGCTGATTTTTTTATTTATTGTAGAGATGAGGTCTCACTGCCCAGGCGGTTCTCGAACCCGCGGGCTCAGTCAATCCACTCACCTCAGCCTCCCAAAGGCGTGAGATTACAGGCTGAGCCACCGAGCCCGGCAAGAGACTTTTATTTTTATTTATTTATTTATTTATATTTATTTATTTATTTTTGAGTTGGAGTCTCACTCTGTCGCCCAGACTGGAGTGCAGTGGCCGCTCCCAGCCACCACAGCCTCAACCTGCTGGGCTCCGGCAATCCTTCTGCCTCAGCCTTCCATGTAGCTGGAACTACAGGCGCGTGCTACCATGCCCGGATAATTTTTTAATTTATTATAGTGATGAGGTCTTGCCTGCCCAGGCGGGTCTCGAACCCGAGACTCTTACATTGTCATCATATATATATAAATATTTCCTATCAAAATGCCGGTCAATAAGCACCTGTATTCTTCCCCAAAGAAAAGCAACCTTGTGCACCCCTGCCCACCCCCAACTCTGATCCTCTAGAGTTTTTGTTTCAGAATGTTACTATCATTGCAACTATCTTAAAACTTCATCATTTTTACTTATTTCTTTGCACAGCTTTGCAACATCCAGCCCTATATTTCTCTTGAGTTTATTCATCTGTCTATGACTGCAGAGCATCTTCAGATACAAGGATAGTAATGTGTTTCAGTCTTTGTTTGTCTGAAGATGTCTGATCTTTAGGGTTTTTTGTAGGTAATCAACCTCTTCCCTTTCTCCTCTTCCTTCTCTTCCTCCTTTTCTTCCTCCTCCTCCTTCTTCTCCCTCTTCCTCCTCCTCCTCTTCTTCTTCTCTTTCTCTGTCTCCCTCTCTTTTCCCTCTCTCTCTTCCTCTCTCTCTTCTCTCTCTCTCTCCTTCTCTCTCTCTCTCTCAGAACCTGTAGCATTTTCTTGTTATCTTTGATATTCTGTAATATAACAATCAAATCCCTATTACAGGACCTTATTCAACCATCTTTGGGGCATGTGGTGGCCTCTCAGTTCAGCCACACTCCACCCAGATCTGGAGTGTGTCTCCTGTTATCTGATTTCTCTTCCTCACTGTTCACCGTATCCCCTCCCCTGGACTCTTGTGGGGTTGGTTGCTATCTGGCCCAAACATCTAGCCTCTTTCTCTTCCTCCTCCCACCTCTGTCCTAGGATGGTCCTCAACTCCATTCTGTGCAAGGATTTGCTCCCCTGATGTTTTCTCTCTGCTTTTTAGCAGAATATTTTTGTTTCTTTCCATGATCAGAGTTTACTTCGCAATACTGATGTGTTCTTCCTCTTAACAAATGCCCTCCCTTCTGCCAGGTGCTTGTCCACAGCCCGCCCTCTCCCAAGTGTGAATCAAACTAGGGTAAGGCCCAGGTGCTGCCCTCTGGGGTCCCCACCCTCCTTTCTCTCCATGGACTCATGGTGCATCCCATCTATCTTGGGTGTTGTTCCCTGAATCCCACCATGGAACTAGTGCAGAGCAGAGAGGGGCTGAGCACAGGGCCCTGGAGGTGCAACCCATCACTTCCTCTGAGGAGGAGCTAACAAGAACAGGAAGCCTCGGGCCCTCAGGCCTCTCTGCCAAGCCTTCCAGACGCTCCCGCTTGCCAGCCTGGTAGAGAGCAGGCCCCTGCCAGCCAGGAACACAGAGCCAAGGCTTCCAGGCACTGAGTGTGGTGAGCACCCGGGGGCACCCTGTTCCATGTTGGTTCCTAAAGGGGAAAAGTTCCGTCCTCGACTTGTCCCCAGGAGCAGCTGCTGCCTTCCCCAGGAAGGCAGCTCATGTGACCCTAGCTCTGGAGTGGTCCTGGTGACCATATCTATGTCCCACAGGAAGGGGTTTTGAGACCAACCACTCCAGGATCCCCTCTGACTGAGACCCAGTGGGGGCAACTGCCTGCCACCCATAGGCAGAGCCATACCGAGTCCTGGGGGTGGCTGTCTCTGGGGCATTGAGAGCCAGGAGGAGGATGGGGGCTCACTGGGTGGATGAGGTGTCCTGGTGTGGCCTGGGCTGTGTAGGAGAGTCCCTGGGTCCCTGGGGCCTTCTCTATAGACCTTCTGTGCCCACCTGAGTTAACACCTCCTCTCGGCACCCTCCGTTGTTAGCCATGGTGATTCGTTTTCCAAACTGTGTGTGTGTGTGGTGTGTGCGTGCATGCCCATGGTGTGTGTCCATGGTGCACTTTTACTGGTGGTACTCCATCTCTTCTCTAGGACCCTCAAGCTGTCCTGGCCTCCTTTGTGTAGGCCTCTGGGTGAGGCTGCATTTTGGGGAATGAGCATTAGTGTCGATTCATAGTCCAGATGGTCAAAGGCTCTGCTGGCCATCCTGGCCTCCCCACACAAAGGGCTCTTAGGGGCTGTTACCAAGGTCTTGGGAGAGACTGAAGCTCCTAGATCTTGGCCTCGTCATCGGACTCCCCAAGACACTGCTACTCCCCCACCCCACGCTTGTAGCAACCCATGCCCTGACTCACACTTGTAACCAACCCCAGCCTCTCCTGGCTCCGGGGGCTGGATTCCTATACCACCCAAGGCCCCTCTCCTCTGCTGATATCTGGGACACGCAGGTAGGAGGAGGGGCAGCTGTGACTCAGGGAGAGGAAGATGACTGGAGAGTGCCGGCCGGGGGCATGCTGTGGGAGCAGAGAGGATACTCACTGTCACCCTCCTTCCCCATGATGATGACACCTGTGGGCCTAGAAGCTGACACCAGATTCTGGGGATTCCCAGAAAGAGGAGCTCAGAGTGCAGTTCTGCTTCTAGCAGTGAATGAGTGAAGGTGTGGTGGCAGAGGGCTGTGATGATGCTGAAGCAGGACCTCAGCCCATGGGGCCTTTATTGGGCTGGACAACACAGGTCCTCTGCTGGGCAGGCACCCTGTGCAGACCCCGCCTGGCACCTGGACGCCTCTCCATGGAGCCTCAGGTTTCTTGACTGAAACATGGGGTGGTAACCCTGCCTCATAAGTGGCATCCACACAACATGCCCAGCAAGCACAAGGAGACGTTGAGGGGGAAGAAGCCCCCAGACAGCCCAGTGTCCTTGCAGAAGTCCTGCACAGGGTCAGACACTGTCCAGAGGATAAGTAGGGTCTGTCTGTGCTCCATCAGGAAAGGTGTGAGGTGAGCAGACCGTTTGGTCCCCTGGGACTCAGTAACCCCATCTGTGAAGTGAGAGAGCAGGTTGGCCAACTCTGCAAACTGCAACTGTCTCTGTCATCAAATGTGTAACTTGAACTCATTTCTAGGGCTCCCGCCAGGTCCAGTTCTGTCCACTTTGTCCCGGGGATCCACAGGGAACAGCACTGCTGAAGGCTAGAAGGAGAGGTATGGAGCCTGTGGCAGCTCTTTGTACTGTGTGGGACCCCCTTTGCATGCCTCTTGCCGTATGAGTGAATCATAGTCCACCTTAGGCCACATTACTGGTGGCTTGCTTCCATTCCCTGAGGACACTGGCTACCAGGGTCAGTGACACACATTCACCATCAGGGATAGGCCAGGCCACTGGCAGCCCCACCTCAGAGTGCTCTTGGCTGGGCATCAGGCAGTCGTGGGTGATGTGGGTGACACCCACAAAGTGGGCCAGGCCCGGGTGCTAGCTGTGATCCCTCCATTTCCCTGGCACAAATTAGACTAACAGAAGAGTGCTGACGGGTCTCTTACCCCTCGACTCCCTGCCTGTGCTCATGGAACTCAGGCCCCGAGCAAGGGAGGGGCACCTGCCACGCACATCATGGCACAGAGGGCCCAGGTGCTACCCAGCACTGCCCCAAGCATTCTCTCCCAGAGTTCCAAGGACTGACGGGTCAGGAGGGTCAGCCCATAGTAACAGCTTCCTCCTACCCAGGTGTTTTTTAAATAACACTGAGCATTGCGTTTGGAGTAGTGTGTGGGGTGGGGTGGGGCAGTTCTGAGTGTGATGGAAACTGGGAAGTGTGAGGTGCAGGGGTGCTGCATGTCTCAGCTGAAGGAAGAGTTCAGAAATCCCTGAGCACAGCCAGAAGCCCTGCACCCTGCCCAGGGGAGACACCGGGAGCACCTGTTCCATGAATGAATGAGTGAGTAGTGAGTGGTTATGATGCCCAGCAGAGAGATCCCTGGGGTCACAGCTCAGCTTCTCCCACCATGGAAAAGTAGCTCCCCAGATTTCTCATAAAGCTGAGGACTTTTAAATCTAGAGAAGCAATTTCAGGGTATTCATTGATAACAATGGAATTCAGTGTTTTAAAAATGTGATTGTACAGGGTTATTGGAGAAAGTGTGGAAAATGCAAACAGGAATAATGAAGAAAATGGAAAATATTCATATTGCCACCACCCAGAAAACCATGGAACCATTTGGCACATTTCCTTTCCTTTCCACACATTCACTTTTTACCGTGAACTTGAGTTGCTATGAGCCGCAATTCACATGGTTTTGTTGCTGGGTAGAATTCTACTGGGCAGGCATTATAGATGTTAAAAACCTTCTCCAATTTGACAGCTATGCAAGAGAGCTAGATATTTTGCCTGGCATGTCTGGTTATTCACTAGGGTGACTTTTTCATATGTTTATTAGCCAGTTGTGTTTCTCTTGTGAATTACCTGTTTATAGCCCACAACCTGGATCTACCTTTTTGTTATTAATTTCTAAGATCCCTTTAGAGATGAAGATTGCCTATCACCTTCTGCACTAGATAAATATTAAGTATTTCCTCTATGTAGTGTATTGTGTACAAACTTTGTTGATGTTAGAAACTGTCTATCTTCTTGGTATTCTTTCTCTTTGTTTTTATGCTGAGGTTTCCTTACTCTGAGATAGTCTTCTCTTTCCTTTATTGTTTCATTTCATGAAACTAAATTCTTACACATCTGTTGCCATTGTTTTATGTCCACAGCAAAAGCACCTGGGGCCTTCAGCTTCACATCCCCATCAAGGAACAGATATTTTCCTTCATATCAGACAGAGAAGGTGTTGTCCCCTTGATGCCAGGTGGAGTGCTGCATAGTTGCTCTGCAGGTTCTTGATTTTCCCATAGAAAATAATTTCAGAGCGAATTCAAAGTATAATTTAAAAATAATTTATCAGAAAGATACATGTTTGCTCAAGGAAAACGTGAGTGCCTTAAGAGAAAGGACATGTGACAAGAAGCTTTATATAATTTTACAACAATGACTAAGAAAACCATGAGCTAAGAGTCCATGGGTGGGCTGGTGGAATCTGGTCACGAGTTCTGATGACAAATGTAGGTTTTTATTTTTTTGAGTTGGAGTCTCACTCTGTCTGGACAAGTGTAGGTTTTTATTTTTATTTTTTGAGTTGGAGTCTCACTCTGTCTCCTAAGCTGGAGCATGCAGTGGCACATTCACGGCCATCATAGCCTCAACCTGCTGGGCTCAGGCAATCCTTCCACCTCAACCTTCCAAGTAGCTGGAACTACAAGTTTGTGCCACCATGCTCGGCTAATTTTTGTATTGATTGTAGAGATTAGGTCTCACTAAATTGCCCAGGCTGATCTCGAGCCCCTAAACTCAGGCAATCCTCTCACCTATGCCTCCAAAGTGCTAGAATTACAGACTTGAGCCACCATGCTTGGCCTCGAGGTTTTTAAATGTCCCTCTGAACATCCTGCACATCTCACTTAAACTTGTCTGGACAAATGTAGTTGTCCTCCAGAGCCTAACCTCTTTCTGCTTGATGCTTCTTTGGCTGAACTGAAGCGGTTCTTTAGATTTCAGCTTTTTCCTTAATGAATGCCTTACTTAAGTCCAGAGCTAGTTTCCTAGATGTGGACAAAAGCAGGCAGGGAAGAGTGGAGACCTTCTCCAGTCACTTAACTTCATTATCTTCTTCAAGATTTTATAGCAGGGACAAGGAGGACAAAGAAAAATTTCAAGACTGCAATCTCTCAGTCCTCTGAGGGATGGATCTCACAAATACAGTTCTTGCTCTGAAGGTAGTCACAAACAAAAGGGGTAAATGATCCTCAGGTTTAAATGTAGACCCAGTCCAAGGTGGTAGCTCACACCTGCAATCCTACCACTTTGGGAGGAAAAAAAACCCAGAATGATGCTCCAGCCTCCTCTGGGATGGAATCTCTGCCCAGTTCTCTGTGGTGTTTACACAAGGCAGGATGGACTCCATCTTGATGCTCTGGCTTCTGGCTTTGGAAGGTGGGTGATTATTTTGCAATTGTCCCTTGAGTCTTCAGCTCCAGGAACAGAGATCTGGCCTGGGTCCTCTCCTTCTCAAGCTGCTCCCACAGGCATTTCCTGTCACTTCCTGCTGCCTCCTGTGCCACTCTGAGACAGGTGTGTTCCCTCTAAGGCAGCAGAAGGTGGGCTTTTCCCTGGAACCTGCACAGTTGGGGACAGGCTCCATGTGAAGTTCCAGGTGGGTCAGTAGGTCCTGGGTGTCCCCAGCAGCCTCGCCTTAGGAGTTCACAGTGTTGCAAAACCTTTACCTCTAACAGGAAGCTGTTCCCACTGTCATCTTGATGCCTGGTGGCCCCTCCGTCTCCAGTCTTGTCTGAAGTGCCATTTCCTTCTCAATGTTTGCTCTCATCCTTCTGCCTTTTCTGTGTGAATCCTGTGTCTTGTGTGTGATTTTCCTTCGCTGTCACATCTGTGTTTTGGCCCTGCTGTCAAGAGTAGTGTTCTTCCTGGAGGAGGCTCCCATCAGCTGTGTTCATTTGGTGCTGGGGGAGAGGAGGGCACCAGGCCCCTGAAGGGGGTCTCTGGAAGGATGGCCAGCATCCCTTCACAGTGCAGGGGAAAGGATGGGAGGATCTTGGTGACAGGTGCCACTTCCTGCAGCTGGGCTGGGATTGTGCCAGCACTTCCCTAGTGGGCAGGGCTGAGGTTGAGGGTGGTGCTGATGCAATGTTCTGATGGGTGATGGTTGGCAGGGCCTTGGGTTCTCAAGCGACCTCGGCTCAGGATTTGTTCCTTAAGTTTTGCAAGGGACACACTTTTGACCCAGAAAGCCCCTGAGGAGGCCCAGGGCTGGAGGAGGAGAGCACTCACCTCAGGAGCAGGAAGCAGGTAGGGCCTGTGGGTGTCTCTCTGGGCTTTCCCACCTCCAGGCCAGGCATGGGGCTGGGCTTAAGGCCCCTGGGAGGAGCCTGTGCCCTCCCTCCCTCCCTTCCCTGCCTGTTCCGCCAGTACAGCCCGGGACACCGGGGATGACAGTGGCCACTGCCCTGCTGAGTGGAGGGCCCATGTGTTGTTCCACATCAATGTGTTATCCAAACCCTCCCCCCCACCAGGAGCTGGGCATGGGCCCACAACCACTTTAGCCACACAGAGGAAACTGAAGCAGAAAGGCCCTGACGGGTCTTGGTCTTTCAGGCTTTAGTGGCCTTGGTTTCAAGCTAAGCCCTGGGCCTCTGAGGGCCTGTCTGGCTGCGGAATGGGGAGGGTCATGGCCTGCCCTGCTCTTCCTCTGCAGAGGGGAGGGCTGGCCACCATGGCCGGGGCCCAGTCACTTGCTCCAAGTCTACTTCCCTCCCAAGCTGGGTCTTTGTCCATCTACTCGTGGAGCTCAAAGAGTTGCCATTTGCCTGGACTGTCATCAGCGTTCGGGGCTGGGGTGGGGCTCCAAGCCTCCCCAAGACTGAGTCCATGGTGGAGCAATGCTTGGGGAGAGTGATGTGGCCTCCCCACCTGCCCTGTTTTCTTTATGTGGTCAAAGTCAGAGCATTGCGGTCTGTGGGTCATCCTGCGATAACCAAGACAGGCTCCCGTCTCTTTGGGAGGGAGTAAGTGGGGGTACACAGGGGTAAATGGGCACCCAGGGTATATCTTACTGATGCCTGGGTCCCAGTTTCCCTATTTGAGTATCCGCGGTGTTTGCATGCTGACTGTCATGAGTGTTTCAGGGGCAGAGGCGTCTAGTCTGTGGCTACAGCAGAGAGCATGGATCTGGGGTTGCAGACCCTCACTAGGTTGGCAAGGCCAGCCCTGCTGGACCACATTTGTGGCTGGGCATCTTGGGAGGACTGCACCCCACTCTCTACTTGGAGCAGCTGTGGTCTGGGGGATAGGGAGACAGCAGGTGGCTGTCCCGAGGCTGACTATCCTTGTACCCAGGGTGGCTCCAGTGTATACATGCCAGGAACAAATGCAGACCATTTGAGGGAGTTGTTGGGCACCTTCATGACACCTTGGACAATCCAACCACAGAACTTTAGGGTCCCAGGTGGAGATCTTGGACTGGCCACGTCCAGATTCAGCCTGAGTCCCAAACCCTGATGATGGGTGATGTAATAGACCCAGAGTGAACTGAAACTGTCTCTTTCAGGAAGCCAGATCAGAATGTGATTTCTGCTTTTGACCCCAGAATGAGAAGGATTAAGAGTTCCATTTTGACATTTCTGATTATAATCTTGCTGGGAATCAGGGAACAAGGTCACCTCCCAAAAAATAGAGACTTGGGACTGATTGGGGTCGCTGAGCTGTAGGATCCCTTGACGAGAGCTCCCTGCCGGTGTTCCTCTGACCTCAGAGCCCCCAGGTGCAGGTGCAAAGGTTTCAGGGGATGTAGGGTAAAGACAGGACCCACCAGCTGGTGCACCCAAAGCCCCACAGGCCACAGCACAAGACAGAGCACTGTTCTCAAGGGATGGCCCTTTGTTGGAACTCTGCTGGCCTGGGTCTGCCCACTGAGCCTTGGGGCCCCTGTGGTGACCCTGTGAACCACCACTGAGGGCAGCAGGTGGAGCAGGGTGCCTTGGAGGCCCTGCTGTGAGATGAGCTGGCACTCTGGGGGAGGTGCATTGATCTTTGTTTCTGATAACCACCCGGGGTAAGAGAAATGTGGCTTCCTGCCCCCACCTCTCAGAACCTGCCTTCTTATAGCCTCTCCGCTTTCTCGGTGTCAGATGAAAGGGTCTCAGCCAGCTACAGAGTTCTCAGGTCCTGGGAAGTTGGACCTGGGGTTCCACCCTACCCAGGAGTCCCCAAGGGTGACCCAGGAGTAGAACCATGGCTGCTTTGAACACCTCAGGGCAGGTAGTGGGAGGCAAAAGGCCCAAGGCAGACAGTAGAGCCCTACCAGTTCCCGCCCTGGGTGGCCTGTTAGAAGGCGCTAACCTCTGACACGCCAGACCCAGCCCTGCCTTGGCCATTGTACCTCGGGGGCCTCAGGGTCGTGAATGTCCACCGAGCAGTCTCTGTGGCTGTTCATGCTTGGGTTTCTAAGAACAGGGTGGGAGTGAATCTGGAAACAAAATAGCAGGTCCCCAGCAACTGGTGGCCAGGCAAGTCAGGTAACTGTCTTTTCCTGCCCACCTAGCAGGGCACCTGGGAGCTTCTCGCACAGCCAACCTGTGAGCATCTGGGCTGGTTTCTTCTTCTGGTCCTGCTTCTACGGTGTGGAAGGACAGGACTGGCAAGTCTCTGCTCTGAGCACAGGCTCCACTCACGGGGGTCAGGGTGCCTGCACCACATGTGTGTCAGGGTGTGCGTGCTTACATGTGTGTGGTACACACGTGTATGCACATGCGTGTATGTACATGTGTGTATGTCTCTCTACAGGGCACCCAGTCACTAAGCAGGTGTGCAGCCCACATGACCCTGCCGGCCTCCCGCCCTCCTATTGACAACTGGGTCCCAGAGTAGGAATACAGGGTGACTCCGTTGACTTGATGTATTCTAACCCCTCCCTCTGGCAGCAGGGACAGGCTCCCAGTCCCATGTCATAGGCCATCTGGGAGGAGCTCTGTGGGTGGTCAGTCACAGAGTCTGGGGCCAAGGCCTATTACCAAGACCCCTTCCTCCACAGGACATGCTGGGCTGGAGCCCCCCGGTGCTCACCCTGGTGGGTCTGCTCTCCTTTGTGTCAGGTGAGTTCTGCAGTGGTGTCTCCATGGGTGACATTCTGTCAGGGAGAACAGGGCCCCTCCTCGTATCCCTGGACAGAAGTTCCTGGGCAACTGGAGAAAGACCATGCTGGAGCAGGTCCCAGACTCAAACCTGGATCTTCCCATGTGTAGGGCGGTGGTGACTCTACATGTCCAGTGGGGGATGCTGACTAAAAGACCCTCCTTCTGGGGCCCCTCACCTTCTTCCTGGGCCTCCTCTGACCCCACCTCCACTCACCCCTCAGGAGCTGACCCAATGTGGGTAGGGCACCTCTCATCAGGGTCTTCTCCCCCAGTCCTCTCCCAGGAGTGTCCCAAGTACAAAGTCAACACCTGCCGGGACTGCGTGGAGTCAGGGCCCGGCTGTGCCTGGTGCCAGAAACTGGTAAGAGCCTCCTGGGACCCTTTCCCCTCCCATCACCTGGGCAGGGCCCCTTTCCTGCCTCTGGAGTCAGTGACCCCTGAAGACCAACTCTGTCAGCCTAGGGGCCACAAGTGTGTCTGAGAGATAGACTCCCTCAGCCAGCCTGTGCCATGAACAGCTCAGGCATGACACAGCTCTGGCAGCAGGGGTGCTGTGGGTCCTGACCTGGCACCTAGGAGAGAAACTTCGGGAAGGAGGGCAGAAGCATGGCCAATGGTGCTCCAAGCAGTGCCCCGGTGCACAGGGTAGAGAGTAGCCCAGCTTCCAGGATGGAGAAACGCAGGGAAGCTCCCACCTGGGCCTGAACTCCTGTGTCTTTAGTGATGCTACAGTTTTTTTGTGTGTGTGACTCTCTTTGAAGAGAAAGGAAAGACCCAGGACAGCGGGCTCAGGGTAATGTCCAGGCCCTAAGGTGATGCCCTCTAGGACCACCACTCTCTCCTGTGAGGAGTCCCCCTCCCAGGTTCTCCAGATGCTGACCACACCTTCTCCCAGGGGGGTCCCAGACACTGACCACACCTCCCAGGTGGTCTCAGACCCTGACCACACTTCCAGCCCACCCTGGGTTCCCCAGATGCTGACTTCACCTTCCAGGGGGTCCCAGATTCTTACTACACCTCCTCCAAGGGGTCCCCAGACACTGACCACACCTCCTCCCTGGGGTTCCCAAACCCGACCACACCTCCTCCCAGGGGGTCCCCAAATGCTAGCCATACCTCCTCCAGGGGGCCCCCAACACCTGACCATACTTCCTCCCAGGGGGTCCCCAAATGCTGACCATACCTCCTCCCAGGGAGTCCCCACACCTGACCACACCTCTTCCAGGGAGTCTCCACACCTGACTATACCTCCTCACAGGGGTGACCATACATCTTCCCAGGGGATACCCAAATGCTGACCACACCTCCTCCAGGGGGTCCCCAAATACTGAACACACCTCCTCCCAAGGAGTCCCCACATCTGACCACACTTCCCTGGGAGTCCTAAGGGTCTGACCGGGTAGGTCTGTCTGGAAGCACACACATGGGAACATACGTTACTACTTTTTCACACCCATTTGAGAGCAGGTTGTAGACATGAAACCCTTTGTCCCTTAGTGCCTCAAGGGTCTTCCTTAAGAACCAGGTTTTCACTTACACAACCACACAAATGCATGTTGATGAATCCAGTTATGTTTATATTGGATGAGTACATTTATCATAATCAGGAAATTTAACACTGGTATCTTATTACAATCAAATCTATACACCTTATGTAAATTCTGTCAATTGTTCCAATAACATCTTCACTAACATTTTTTCCTGGTGGATCTTACAATTCTGGGTCACACTTGCATTCCGATGTCAGGTCTCCCTCGCCTCCTTGAATCTGGAACATTCCTCAACTTTCTTTGTCTTTCACCCCAGCATTTCTGAGAATCCACGATAGCACTTCTGTAGAATGCCCCAGAGATGGTCTTGTCCAAGTCTCCTCTGACCTAGCTCAGGTGCTCTGGCAAAAGCTGCACAGTGACGGTGTCCTTGGTGTCCCCCACAGTAGGTATGCACTCCTCGTTCCCAGCCAGAGATGGATATGACCCGCTGACTAAGAGGGCATCTGCCCAGCTTTCTGTGATGCCCCCATTTCCTGGAAGTCACTCTGCAGCTGGCAAACACTCTCTTTCTCACCAAACTAGCCCTGAGAGCTCAATATCCCTGGGTGCCTCCTGCCTGGATCATGTATCACCACAAGGGGCAAAATGCGTGTTCTGGCCTCTAACTTACCCCTTGGCTTCTCAGGAAGGAAGGATTTTTATATCTCCCCAATCTCTCTCTCTTTCCCTTTCTCCCTCCCCCCGCTCAATTTCTCTCTGTATATCTCTCTGTATATCTCCCTGCAATCTCTCTGTCTTTCTCTTTCTCTCTCCTGTGCCCACTCTCATTCTCTCTCTCTCTCTGTCCTCTCTCCCCCACCCCTCTGAATCTCTCTCACACTCTCTCCCTCTCTCTCTCAGTATGACCCATAGATTTTTACTTTGTCCAGTAGCTCATAGCCTATGACTGTCATTCTTTCAGCACAATGCTCAATTTGACCCCAATGGGGCCATGGAGAGCCCCTCTAAGCTGGTCCTGTGTCCCATCCATATGTCCCCATCTTTTTTTTTTTGAGCACTTTCTTACTTTCTGGAATCACATGGTGCTGCAGGCCCACCCTGCCCTCCCTTCCTGGCCCTGCTCAGCCATTTTTCTGAGGTTCCTGGCTCCTCTCCATAAGTGGGTTCCTGCCTTCCTCCTTTTCTCAGTCCCATGACACACAGGGAGTTCAGGGTCTTCAGCCCACACTACCACCATGAGCAACCTGCCACAGAGAAGTCACCGTGCTCTGTGTTCTGTTCTCTTACTTGAGGAGTCAAAGCCTGGGTTTAGAAGTTTTTCCTTCCCCTTCCCAGAGGTTATTCCATTCATTTGAAATAAACACAGTTCATTTGCTTCTATGTGGATTTCACTTTAGGCTTTCTCTTCTCTCTATTCTTGCTGAGAATTTCTTGCATACTCAAATCATTCCTGTGTTACAAAAGTTAAAGCCCTACAAAGAGGCGCACTCAGGAAGTGTTGTCTGCCCCCATCCCCCACCCC